TCACACTATTAACGACATTCTTGATGGGTGTGGTCAATTAAACTACTGAAAAATGACTGCTTATAAGTAAAATTTGCACAAGATTACTTGTTTTTGTAAAAGATCTCACAAAATACTATTGCTAAACAATCAAATCAAGGAAAGATGTCATACTCTTGTAGAGCAGTGCTCAATAATCACTGGTAAACAATTGATCATTGATATTTCAGTTGTCTAATAATATTTGACCTGGAATCTGATACCTGGGCCCAGGCACAGCAGGCCCAGGTGTAGCTATGCCACTGGTTCACAGTATGACACTATAAAAGTAGATAACACTATCACTGATGAAACATTAACAATACAATAGAACCACCCACACTTTGATTAAAAATTACACATTACAATATTTTGTGTGTACTATGACAGTTTTAACACGAGAGTTAAATTTGTACATACATGTATTTTGTTATTCTTCACATGATGTGAAATAAAATGTTTATTTTGTTTGTTGATGGTGAGGATTAGAATTGATTTTACAATTACAATAAATGTAACGATCATCTACATATGAAATGATGCAATTTCTCATTTTTATAAGTAACTGTATAAACATCATGTATCAGTAATTACTTGTATACTTCTCTTTATCTACAGATTCCTCTACCTGAATCTATTACTGGTAGATACCAGCACTCACTCACAGCAGTCACAATGTCACCACACTGTGTGTGGCTAGTAATTGTTGGAGGATTTGAAAGGTATAGTATGAAAGTATTTGGAGGAGTGAAGAAACCATGGCATGTATATGCCACTGATACTAATAGACTAATAATGATAATTGAATTAGGTAAGATAATATTAATCAAATGTAAGGATATGAGCATTACGTTAAATAATATCACACTCATTTTTATACAATGTAGTATGTACCTGGTACATTATTTGTAAATTTCAGTTCCTAATATGACATACATTTTCCATTCATTTTGTATACTGTACACACTACAATACCACTGTATGTGTGGGTGTGTATTTACAACCACTATAAATGATACCATT